ATCTCCATGCTGCCTGAGGGGCCATACGGTGGAAGGCTTGGTGAAGCTATACTTAGAAACATTTTCTAAGTCCTACATATTTTGACCCTCGGTCAACTCTCCATGCTGCCCGAGGGCTCCTACATGCTACACTTAGAAAAAATTCTAAGTCCCAAAAGTTCTTACCCTCGGTCAAATCTCCCTGCAGCCCAAAGGGTAATACGATTGAAGGCTTGGTGAAACTACACTTAGAAATATTTTCTAAGTCCTGACTATTTCTGGGCCCTCGGTCATATGTCCAGCCAGCGAAGGGTACCCAACTACCGAAGGCTAAACTGTATTCGAACACTTGGAAAAATTTCCTAAGTCCTAAGCACCTCGCCTTCGTCTATCTCACGAAGGCTACATGGAACCAGAGGGAAGAAACCGGCCGGGGGCCAACAGATGAACAAATACTTAGAAATATTTCTAAGTCCTGAACATTGCGCCCTCGGTGAAAGGTTCAACTGACTAAAGGTTACTAGTAGCCGAGGGCTACGAGAAGCACTACACTTGGAAGAATATATTCTAAGTCCTAAACATACATTCAGAAAAGCGAAGGCCTACATTCAAAAGAAGGGCGAAGGCATACATTCAGAAAAAGCGAAGGCATACATTCAAAAGAAAAACAAGGGCATACATTCAAAGAAAAATGGTCAAAGGAAACATATTATATACCAAAAGCCCGAAGGCATGTACTCATTCATCTAATAAAGGAAAATCCAAATGTATGTTACAAGAGGGCCGAAGCCAATAAGTACAATCGGGTGTGATTACAAATCGGGAGGGAATACATTTCACGAAGGGGGAGTTGTAGAAACTGCCTCACTCTCGGCCTCATCCCCATCACCCCCGAGGCCGCACTCCCTCAGGGTCTCTGAATCTTCGAGCACTGGCCTCTCTTCTCCTTCGGGGAGCGGGATCCGGACGTCTGGCTGACGAGGGGGGAGGCCATAAGCCTCGGGATGGAACTCCTCCGGTGCGATCTTGAAATGTCTCGCAAGCTTCCGGTAAATGAGGCGCTGGGTGAAGAACTCCCCGCCTTGGTAGTAGGAGTCGCCCCTCTCAGCAAGCCACATCTTGCCGGGGCCTCCAACCCATTCGTCCACCGAAGCCCCCACCACCGAAGAGAGCCACTCCTTCCGATCTTCAGCCTTCCATCCCTCGGCAGTGAAACTGGCCACCGCATCCTCACGGGCTCTAGAGACGGCCTCTTCTTGAGCCGCGCGGGCTTCATCAGCAGCAATGCGGGCGGCCTCGGCAGCAGCCTCCCCGGCCCTGGCCAGGCCCTCATTCACCCCTTCGGCCCTCGCAGCTTGCACCCGCTGCTCCATGCCATCGGTAGCCAGGCGAAGAGAGTCCTCAGCCTCGGCAAGTTTCTTCCTGAGGAGGGCGGCCTCCCCTTCGGCTGCGCCTTTCGCCTCCCTCATTTGCTCCACCCTCCGGAGGTGCTCGCAGAGGCCCATAAAGCTCTACAATTCACAAGATGAGATATGATGAACACATTACAAAAAAAAAACAACGAACGAGGAAAGGATAGGTATGACTTACGGAGGCAGTGTTCAGAAGGATCTTCGCCTCGAGGGACCCCTCGTCCAACCTGGCGAGGGCCAAGCGGTCAGCCGATGGCAGCATCTGGCTCATCAGTGCCGAAGGGTTCAGGCTGCCCTCCAGTACAGAAACCCCCTTCGGCACTATCGCCTCCAGTTTCTCCCGCTCGAAAAACTCCTGATTGATGTGCTCCTGGGAGGTGGGGGCAGAGGCGTGCCCTTCATCCACAATCACAACCACATCGGTGGTCGGCTGCTTGGCGGGGGCGGCGGTCTTTACCTTCTTTGCCGGGGGCTCGGTCCCCTTGCCAATATTCTTCTTCTTCGCGGGCCCGACAGCTCTGGACCCTCCGGCGCCAGCAGATTGGGAGGGCTCCTCCCTGGCAGAAGTGCCCGCCCGGGCCTTCTTCTTCCCCTTCGCATTCTTTAAGGCGAAGAGAGAGCCTACGTCCATGTTATTACCTGCAAGAAAAAGACACAGAATGGTTAAACCGAAGGGTGTCAGTTACAATGACATAAAAGAAAAAAAAAGAAAAGGAATGTATGAAGGAAAACTATCAAGGTACAAATGAACCCTTCAATAATCACCTCCGGCTCCTTCGAAGACTCGATCGAGGGGAGGGTATCTTTCATCCGAAGAACCCCTCGGCCTGAACTGCCGGAAGCCAAGGCTAAGCAATTCCTCGGGGAGAGTGACGTCCTTAATCATGACGTGTTTATCAGACCCCTCCGGTTTTTTGGCAAGCACTTTGCCATTCTTCTCCAGGGCTGCGCTCCTTACCTTCGGGTGGCGCCGGAAGCTGTTGCGGAGCTGGGCCGGGAAGGGGTTCTCCTCGAGACGAATGTAGCAAAATCGCTCCTTCCACCCCTTGTGGGACGAGGGCACGTCATCAAAGAGTCTAAACTCTGGTACCTGCTGAAGGTTGGCAAAGCCCTCAGCATTTGAATGCCCTCCGGCAGAGGTTAAAAGACATGAAGAACTGGTCAAGGGTAGGTGGAACCCCCCGGCTCTGGCATAGGGAGAGGAAGCTGGCCACGTAAGAGTGGCTGTTGGGCGTTAGCTGGTAGGGGGCCAACCCCACGAACCTCAAATATTCCAACAAGAAGGGATGAAGCGGAAAGTGAAGCCCCATCTCCACCGACAGCGTGTGAACAGCAAAACACCCTTCGGGTGCATATCGCAACAGGTCATCCGCCCCGGGCTCCACCACGCGCGCCGAAGGGCTGACCAAGATCTGAGTAGCATGGTACTCTGCCGGGGACGCCCTCGTTTTCAGCTCCAGGGCAGCGGTGTTCAGGAATGAGTGGCCCTCGGGTATGCCTACCGGCCGCCCGGCATCAACAGCCGCTTGTTTCTTCTTCGGGGCTGCCCTCATCTTCTTCTTCTTCCCGGGAGCCACGCTGATGGGCGTCGAGTTCAATGGCCGGGAGGAGTTGGATTCCCCGGCACCACGAGGGGGAAGAACGGCAACCGTCACCTTCGTCCTCTCCCTCTCCTCTTCCTCTTCTGCAGTCTGCACGGCAAGGGCGAGCTCTTCGTCCTCATTTACTTGCTCGAAGTCTTCGGCTTCAACTTCGGCCTGGAGGTCTTTCTCCACCTCCATGGCCACAGCGGCGTCACCACCCACCGAGGACTCCCCGCTCGAAGACTCAACGTCTGAGTACGTCTCCATCTCGACTGAAGGCTCCCCCGAGATATCCTGGGAGTCGCTTTGTGAAGACATCTTCCCACTAGACCGAGGGCTCGGAAATGCTAAGTATTCTAAAGTTCTAACTCCTAGCCTAAAGGCACAGGGCACAGCTAACTAGGAGGAGAAGAGCAGGGGGGAACTAACCTTAAAAGCTGGGAATCAACCGAAGGCTGGATTTTCTCTCTCTAGAAAATTGGGCAGAGCTTCGCTACAATGATTTCGCACAAGGGGAAGGGAAGCCGGCCATGGGATATTTATAGGCGCTGGGATCCGGGCTTGGGCCTGGAAACTGGGCCTTCGGCTGGACTGCCATCATTACGAACCGTGGTTTCGCCCAATCAGTGACGCCCGCCCACGGACAGCCAACGAGCACACACCACGTGGCAACCCCCCCAACGGCTATATTCTGACGTTAGGTATTCCAACGGCTATATTTCCAACGGCTATATTCTGGGAGCCCCCGGCTACACTTGACAGACCACTCCTTCATCAACCAAGAAACTAGCTCTCGGGTACACTTACCCAGAGGCGCTCCCGGTTTGTGCCCCACACACTACATAACAGGTGCCTTCGGGCTCGCTCCTTCAGAAGCCCACGGCTTCATAACAGGCCACCCCTCGGGGATCCCCCCTCAGCACTTTGAGGGCCGGGTAGCCCCCGGGAAATGCGCCCCATTGACGGACAGCCCACGGCACACAGGTTACAGGAGCCCTCAGATATCCTCATCACCAACTAATCAACAAACAAGGGACACCCCGATAACACTTCAACTACTACCCTCATTCATTACGCCCTCGATCACCAGATTGAGGGACTCCCCTTCGGCACCTCCCAGGATATCAAAAGCAAGCCTCCGGCTAATCAACACATGAGCCCTCAGAACAAGGAAAGCCTTCGGCATGAGCATTGTACTCCATTTCACACCAGGGCTTCACGTTTTCGATTCATCATTGGGGGAATTCGGTGCACTCTTTTTCCCTCATTAGGATTTTTTTCCACAAGGTTTTTCCTAATGAGGTTTTTAACGAGGCATCCCCCCCAAAATGAAACGAAAAGCGTCAGCCCTCGGCCCAAAACAACAACGCAACTACTTTACTCCTTTTCACCACTTTGCAAGTGCCTCAAGGAGTGGGGGACTGGAGGACCCCCTCGGGAAAAATCACAAAAATCACAAACATGACCCCTTAAGTCCCGACATGTGGGTAACTGAGGGACTGCCCTCGGCAGAATGAACAAACAACAAACTACCCACAACTCTACAAACTACAACGGAACAACGACAGAGGACAAACACAATTACTCCTTTTCCCTCAAGTACCTTTCGGCAAAAGGAGTGAGGGACTTCTGATGGAGTATATGGCCCGGGAACCCCCGGCCCACAGACTCCTACTACTCCAATAAAGGCCCAATAGGCCCAGGAAGCGCAACAGGCCCAAATCACGGTGCCCAAGGCACCAAGGGGCCCACAATGCGCACCAGGGGTGCCTTCGGCCCCCTGGCCGAAGGCTTTGATTCTTACAGGAAGTTCGAAACAGGAAAACAAAGTTACTGGGAGAAAACGACGAAAATGAGTAGCCCTCGTCAACTGGAGCCCTCGGCACCAAGGGGGTCCCCGATACTCAGAACTCTCGACTAGTCATCTACATCCAGCACCTTTTACCGTACCAAGTACTACGTGCCTTTCACGGCGCCTCGTAAGCGCCTGGCCCCTTGAGGTAAGTTTCCGGTATTGTAGAGATTTGTTGTTGTCATTCGAATGCCCTGTTGTGCTAGATGATGAGCGACTTTGTTTCTTTCTCTATAGGTGTGTACGAACGTTGCCTGAAGATTATTACGGAGGATGCTGATGTGTTTGACCTCGTCTGCTAGATGAGGAGGTATTTTCTTTCTTCCCTGAGTAATTTTGACTAGGATTTCCGAATCGGTTTGAATTTCTATTTTATGGTAACCGATGTTTGATAAAATGGCCATGGACGTTGCTGCTGCTATTGTTTCGGCCTGGAGTGGCGTTCTCGATTTGACCGGAAAGGAGAATGCCTCTAGTAGAACCCCTCTTCTATTTCTGAGGATTCCACCCCCTGCACTGTTAGTGAGATTGTGGGCTGCATCTACATTCAGACAGAGATCTGCATCGGAGGTGATGTACCACTGAACTGGTTGTTATCTTTTTTGTGCTTTGATTTTTGGCATGAGACCCTCTGAGAATAGATCGTTGTCGAACTGAATGTATTTCTTTCCTGCGTGCACTGTAGTCCATCTGAAAATGTATGATTTGATCTCTGCTATTGTATCCGTCTTTGATAGTGGCTTGTCGTTCCAAATTGTGAGGTTGTACGCTTTCCATGCATGCCATAGAATAACCCCTGGTAGAATCTGCCTTAGTGTGTCCTATGTGTTGTCGTTTTCCCCCCTAACCACCATTTGAACATGTGTTGTCGTAAGTCTGTGATTTGATTTGTATGTACCTGCAAAAGTTTAGAAAAATAAAGCCAAATGGGGTGAATTTTGGGACATAGGAATAGGCAATGGTTCACTGATTCTTCTGCCCGTAGGCAGAATGGGCAGTGGGTTGCCAATTGAAAGCCAAATATGGTCATATTTTCTGGAAAGGGTAGAGCTTCTGTGTTGTATTTCCATAGTAGTAGTTTGATGTTGAGATATTGTTTTGGATTCCATATGCTTTTTTGGCTGAAAGTTGGGGGTATGTTGATCTGACGGTGTGATATGCACTCTTGAGAGTGAAGCATTCATTGGGCGACTCCCTCCAAAACAGTTGATTGTCTTTAAATTCAATGAGATGTCTAGATCTCTGGTTTGTTCTGCATATCTGTTTCCACACCGGGGAGTCTTTGGGTTTAAACTTTAGTATTGTGGAGTCAACATATCTAGTATGCATAAATTTGGCCCAAAGTGTGTTTTTCTGCTTGAAAGTCCACCAATTTTTGAGGTGAAGGGCGCATTGTATGTCACTAATTGATCTGATGTCCAGCCCTCCCTCTTCCCCTGGTCTACAGATTTTCTTCTAGCTGTTCCAGTGGTAATTTTGATGTTGTTTTCTTGTACCCCAAAAAAATTAGCCATAAGCCTGTGGAGAATGGTAATGATCTTTGTTGGTATGTTTGTTGTTGCCATGTGGTGTAGTGGGATAGCCATTAGGACATGTTTGATTAGGGTTGCTCTTCCACTTTGAATAAGGATTTTTTGTTTCCATGATATTGTTACCGCGATATTGTTACCCCTGACTTTCTTGTCCAGGTGGTGAAGCAATTCTTTTGCTAATAGGATGTGGTGGTGGATGTTCTCCCCCTCCATAAATCCTATCTGTTCCTTGGATACAAATTTATGCATAAGAGCCTTCATTCTGGTGGCCAGAATCTTAGTGCATACTTTATTCAAGAAGTTAGTCACGCTTATAGGGCGGTACTGGTTAAAAGTCTTAGCTGATTGGGTTTTAGGTATAAGAACCACAGTTGAGCTCATGAGCGCCTTAGGCATAGGTACCCCTAGAAAGAATTCTTAAACGCCATTTATCACATCCAAACGGATGATCTCCCAGCAAGTCCGGAAAAAATTCCCATTATAACCGTCCGGGCCTGCACTACTGTTGGGGTCTAAAGACCAGATTGCATTTTTAATCTCGTCCTCCAGGGGGGTTTAGAGATTTCTGTGTTATCTGTATCGGATATGACCCGTGGTAGGTAGTTGAGGAATGTGTTTTTATGGTTCAGGTTTAGTTTTTTCCTAGTATAAAGTTTGGTGTAGTGGTTTAAGGCAGCCGTTGCAACGGAGTCCTCGTTGTTGTGTATTGAGCCAAATTCGTCTTCAATTAGGAGGATTTGCTGATTCTTACTTTTGGCCTTAAATTTAGTACGTTTATTTATTTTAGTCATACTAACTTTACAAATTCGTCTCCACTTTTTAGAAAGGTTCCAGTTAAAAATTTAGTCTTTTAGAGACTACATTAACAACATTTTTTTGGATATTTACATCTGTCATTAGTCGAGGAGGCTATCAGTACGTTTATTTATTTTAGTCATACTAATTTTACAAATTTAACCTATACGAGAGTTAGAGAAGGTTTGAAAGACCGTCATCTCAAAGTCCGAGTATAAGAAGTCTTTAAGATTCAATAAAGTTTGTGCTTATGGTGATTGCTTATAAGCTCATAAGTTATATTTCAACATCTCAGCATTATGAAATTCAGAAATAATAAGAGACCTGTTGTGAATTTGAGTCTTTGACCTGCTTAAACTCTTTGATGTTCCTACAAATACATGTGAGGTAACTTGAAATACAATCATATAAAAAACTGCACTTAAAAAATATCAACCCAGTTTTTGACTTGCTCACTAGCAATGTGAGCAACTTTGGCCGCCATTTCAAAGTCCGAGTATAAGAAGTCTTTAAGATTCAATGAAGTTTGTACTAATGGTGATTACTTATAAACTCATAAGCTATATTTCAACATCTCAGCATTATGAAATTCAGAAATAATAAGAAATGTGTTGTGAATTTGAGTCTTTGACCTGCTTAAACTCTTTGATGTTCCTACATATGCTTGAAATACAATCATATAAAAAACTGTACTTAAAAAATATCAACCCAGTTTTTGACTTGCTCACTAGCAATGTGAGCAACTTTGGCTGTCTTTTAAAATCAACTTTGACTGTTATTCCTACTACCGATTTTTATTTATATGCAGTAGATTCATATCCTTTTGAATTTGTTAAATCTGTGAATTCACTCAATTTATAAAATGCAAACTCGTAACTTAGTTCACATTTTGATGCTTCTGTGAATTCACTGTGTACATAATAGGTTTCAATTTGTTGATATTGCCTCTATAAAGTTAGTAGATGATGTTATTCAAAGTTAGAATCTCCCTTTATTCAACTCGCATGTATTAAAACACATGCGAGTTGAATTCCCATCCATCTGCCATGATAAGAGGAAGACTTCGGGTGGTGCTAGCCGGCTATGAAAGGAAGTTTTTCGAGTATCTTTCTAGAGGAGATCAAACACATGCGAGTGCAGATTTACATTTGGATTTTTTTTATGGAGAGACTATAATATCAATTGTTCCACTTTTTAGAAAGGTTCCAGTTAAAAATTTAGTCTTTTAGAGACTACAATAACAACATTTTTTTTGGATATTTACATCTGTCATTAGTCGAGGAGGAGGTTACCAGTACGTTTTATTATTTTAGTCATACTAACTTTACAAATCTACCTATACAACAGTTAGATAAGGTTTGAAAGACCGCCATTTCAAACCTACAGTGAGGTAAGAGGGGTGAGGGGTCGGATGTACGCATCCTTACCTCTGTACTAAAGCACAACGAGACTATGCTTTTACTACATAGTGAAAAAATGTTTATACAAATATTAATAGATTCACCATCACTTTTCTGGCATTGTGAAAATGTTTATACAAATATTAACAGATAAACTATCAGCTTTGTATACACAAAATGACTCGAGAACTCCCTGATGTGTTATGGAAATGAAACTAAAACCTCCAAAAAGTCACACTTGCTTTCAACTTTCTGCTATGGAAATGAAAATGGTCTTTCATGATTCCTCTAAAAATGAATGATCGTTTATGTTAATTAAAGTGAGATCACACTTGCATTCCTGCTTAAATATAACATACAACCGTAATGGTGTATGCCAGGAGACAGTAATGATGATTTTCAGGTTATATGCCAGGAGGTGGTTGGTTAAATATTTCTCTACACCATATTATTTTCTGCTGAAAAGGAATTAAACGAGGCTGAAATGGAAGCTGTAGATTGTTCTAATGGTTTATTAAAATTTATCTTTATATAATCTACAACTATGATTATACTTTAGGTTTCCTACCAGTTGTTTTGTTACATATTATGGTTAGAAACAAAATATGCTACACCCACACTAAACTGATAAAAACAAAAGAAATTGCTCCAAATAGAAGTAAAACATAGACAATGTGTACAAATAGAAAATACGAATAACTTTATTTTATTTCCGAAACAGAACATAATAGGTTTTATTAAAAAACTTTGTATATAGGACAAACACCACTTCAAATAATGGTGTTTGTCCCAAGAGTATAAGATGACACAGTCTTGTTTAAGCTTAATAGGTTTTCTTATTTTAAGTATCTAAGCTTGGGCTATTACTCTTCTTTTTATGTTTTAAATTTCTTTGGCTTAATACTCATTTTCAGAATTCGTTACTCTTAAGAGTTAGAGGTTGTGAGTTTGATTTTTAAGCATCAAATCAGTGTAACTATCTGCCTGTAGTCAATCCTTTTTATGAATGCTATCCCAGTTTGATTTTTATCACTCCATTTGGCTGAAACAAAATGATTGATCATTAGATGGTATTCCTACACACATAAGAGCAGATAAGTACTTCTTGCTTCAGGAATATTGCGCAACACTTTCAAGGGATAACATGTGTTGGTTTTATCTTCTCTAGAACCCTCTTCAGTGTTTTTTTAGATTATACCATGATGCCATTGTTTGAACTTTGAATGCTTTGACTAGACATATAATGTTGCAGTTTTGGTTTTCTTATCTTCTTTGAAAGCAGTGAATAGCGTAATTATTTATTGTCATTTTCATCCCGCTCTCGCATTTTTGGAAACCCGAAATTTCATTTGTATAATTAGTTTTTGAGGTATGAATTGACATTTGAATTGAAAATGTGGTTACTTAGTTGTGGTTGACTTCTTCAAAAGAAATTGTGAGTTATAATTGGTGTTTAATTTATTAAACCATCCAATATTGATAACATACCTCTGTTTATTTTAGCTTTCAAATTTCCTTTTCTACTCGATCCCAAAAAAGATTCTCTTTCACTTTACTAAGAAAAACAATTTTGATCGTATTTTCTTCCTATTTAGTCGGCCGCACGATCGGGAGCTCTTTGATGGGAAGAGCTCGATAAATAGGAGCAGCATATGGCTCTTGTTTTACACCCTGAGTCTGCTCCTCACTATCAATATACACACCATCTAATAGAGTGAAGAGAAGGGCTTGGAAGAGCAAAATAAGCAGGGCAGTTCACTGTGTTCAAGGAAATGGCTGAAGGTATGTATTGTCTATATCCTGCTTCCGCTTACTTCTATACTGATCTGAATATGCTCAGTATGTGTATAGCATGTTTAGATCAGTTTGTTCTTACATTTGGTATCAGAGCTTCGACTATTATCTCTGCCTTTCCTTCTGTTATTTACGTTTGAGCATGCCTGATTCACATGTATAATTGATTGATTAGAGTAGAACACTGAACGTACAACCGATTATGTATGCCCAGTGCTCATTCGGGGATATCTTAATACTCTGTTTAAATCCATTAATTGATTATTCGTGGCATATATGTTAACGTAAGAATTAGTTGGTTTACAGTCAGAATTTGTATACTGATGTATCGTTGACATACAATCAGATTAGTGCCTGATTTGTGAAGATGAACTTTAAAACCTTCTTTTTCATGCCCATGAAGTGTCTGTGTTAGTGCTTAAACTAAATTGCCTAGGGTATAGTTAAAGTGCATTACGGCACTCACATTTTTTGCACTAGTGATGTTGATTATGTTTTATATGCACATGTTAGAGTTTGAGATTTTAATCCTGAGTGCAAATGATCCGGTTTAATCATGAGTAATTTGGCTATTTCCAATTCCTTTGTTCCAGTTTGTTCCGTTTGAATAAGTGTGCTGCTTTTGTTTAAATAAGCTGCATACTGTACTAGAACTCATATTGGAACTAGTGTACTGCTCGTGATTAATAATACTCAGGAGTGCTGCTTTTGTGAACTTTAGTGTACTGCTGCAATTTTAGTTTTTGAAATTGTAATGGAACTTAAATGCTACATGTGATTTAGATTACTCCAGAATGTTGCTAATTCACTTTAGTTCAATAAAACATGGCTGGAAATCTGGAATTGAGATGTAGTTTAATTAATTGAAGAATAGCCACAACATCTTTGATTGATTAAATTTTATATCAAGTTTCTGAATCACATTAAGGCATCACTTGTGATTAATTATATGAAATATATTGAAATATGCCCACAGGAGTTTCATTGTATTAGTATAATTAATTAGGATGAAATATTAGATTATTTTTCTCAAACTACCCACAGGAATTGAGAATGGAATATAATCTAATAGTTTTATCAAATTGTTTGCTTTATGTGTCTAATTGAGTAAAACTTTAGCCCACAGGTAAGTTTTATGTCACTAGACTTATTGATAATCATGTTTTGCATTGGTAGAACATGAACTTCATTTTACCTCAAATATTAATAATGAGCATGTATATATTATATTTTTTACAGTTGTTCAACCTGCAAATGTTTCTGATATGAAATGTGACATTCCCGAATTAAGGGGTGATAACTATAAGGTTTGGAAGGAGCGTGTTCTCCTTCATTTGGGCTGGATGGACATTGACTATGCTATAAGGAAAGACGAACCACCGGCTATAATGGCAACTAGCACTCCGGATGCAGTTGATCTTTATGAAAAGTGGGAGAGATCTAACCATCTCTCCGTAATGTTAATAAAGACCAAAATAACTGCTAGTATCCGTGGTTCTGTCGATCAGCATACTAAAGTCAAGGACCTTTTGAAGGCTATTGATGAGCAATTTGCTACATCTGATAAGACCGTTGCCATCACCTTAATCATGAAGTTCACAACCATGAAGTTCACTGGGATAAGAGGCGTGCGTGAACACATCATGAACATGAGGGACATAACGGCTCAGTTGAAAACTTTGGAGGTAACCATGTCGGATGCTTTTCTGGTTCACTACATCCTTTACACTCTTCCACACCAATATGCTCCTTTTAAGATCTCCTATAACACACATAAGGAAAAATGGTCAATTAATGAGCTACTGACCATGTGTGTTCAGGAGGAGGAGAGGTTTATGATGGAAGAGGGTGAACGGGTGAACTTGACTGTTCATGAAAAGAAAAGGAAGGATCATGCCAAAGGTAAAGGCAGCATCCCTCCACAGGCAGTCATTAAGAAAGAGTCAAAGTGTTTCTTTTGCAAGAAAAAGGGACACATGAAGAAAGAATGCTCTAAATTCAAGAGCTGACTCGAAAAGAAAGGTACTCCATTAACTTTTGTGTATTATGAATCTAATATGGTTAATATTAATCACAACACATGGTGGATTCATTCCGGTTCTACAATCAATGTTTCTAATACCTTGCAGGATATGGAAAACCTAAGGAAACCAGGGGCAAGTGAACAATGCATCTACTCAGGAGGAAGAATAAGTTCACATGTTGAAGCCATTGGGACATGCAATTTAATTTTAAGCAGCGGTTTTATTTTACAATTGGAAAAGACCTTTTATGTTGCCAGTTTTTCAAAGAATTTAATTTCTGTTTCGAGACTAGCTCCTTTAGGATTTAGTTTCAATTTCTCAAGTTCTGGTTTTACTTTAATAAATAAATCAAAAACCATTGGTTTTGGTTCTTTAGTTGATGGTCTTTATTCAATTGATGTGAAATATAATGTTGCTTATGATTCAATGCATGTAACAACTGGTTCCAAACGGTGTGTTGTGAACGAGAAGTCCTCTATGTTGTGGCATCGAAGACTAGGGCATATCTCCATTAAGAGGATTAAGTGTTTAGTGGATGAAGGAGTACTTAGTACTCTAGACTTTGCTGATTTTGATAGGTTGTATTAAGGGTAAACAAATCAACAAGTACAAGAATGATGCAAAGAGGAGTTCTAACCTATTAGAAATCATACATACAGATATTTGTTGTCCAGATATGGATGCAAATAGTCCGAGATACTTTATCACCTTCATAGACGATTATTCACGATACATGTATCTCTACTTACTTCGCTCTAAAGACGAGGCGTTAGATGTCTTTAAAATTTTTAAGGCTGAAGTAGAGAAGCAATGTAATAAACAAACTAAGATCGTGAGGTCGGATAGGGATGGAGAGTAATATGGTAGATATACAGAGAATGGATAAGCACCTGGCCCATATGCGAAGTTTCTTCAAGAAAATGGGATTGTTTCTCAATACACTATGCCTGGTTCTCCGGACCAGAATGGTGTAGCTGAAAGAAGGAACCGAACTTTAATGGACATGGTGAGAAGCATGAGGAGTAATATAAAACTTCCTCAATTTTTGTGGGTTGAAGCACTAAAAACAGCCGCATATATATTAAACCGAGTTCCATCTAAGGTTGTCTCTAAGACTCCTTTTGAGTTATTTAAAGGATGGAGACCGAGTTTGAACCATATACGCGTTTGGGGCTGCCCATGTGAAGTAAGAGTCTATAACCCTCAAGAAAAGAAGCTAGACCCTAGAACTCTTAGTGGTTATTTCGTTGGATATGCAGAAAAATCCAAGGGGTATAGATTTTATTGTCCATCACATAGCACTAGAAGTGTGGAGTCGAGAAACGCCAAGTTTCTTGAGAATGACTTAGTAAGTGGGAGTGAAGAATTTCAGAATATTTTTTCTAAAAGGGATCACATTAAGAATCAACCATGCGAACTAAGTAACAAATTGATTGTTGTACACGCTCCTCAAGTACAGATGCGTGCTGGACAATCAATAAATGAGAATCCACATGAAGCTGGAAATGACTTAATAGATCATACCATTGTTGAAGGCCAACAAAACAATGGTGAACAATCTGGTGAACAACAGGTTGAACAGCCCGTTGTTGAACCAGATGATGAAGCAACATTAAGAACATCTAATAGAGTCAAAAGACCAGCGATACCTAGTGATTATGTAGTGTATCTACAAGAATCAGACCGTGACGTAGGAGCTGAAAATGATCCTGAGACGTTTTCACAAGACATGAGTTCTAATGAATCAAACTTATGGATTGATGCTATGAATGATGAGATGAATTCTATGGGATTCAATAAAGTATGGGATCTCATTGAGTTGCCAAGTGGTGTAAAAGCCATCGGGTGTAAGTGGGTGTTTAAAACCAAGAAAGACTCACAAGGCAACATTGAGAGATATAAAGCGAGACTTGTAGCCAAGGGGTTCACTCAAAGAGAGGGAATTGATTATAAGGAAACCTTTTCTCCTATATCTAAAAAGGATTCTCTTAGGATCATCATGGTATTAGTGGTTCATTTTGACCTTGAGCTACATCAAATGGATGTGAAAACAACTTTCCTCAATGGTGATCTAGAGGAAGAGGTTTATATGAAACAACCAGAAGGATTCTCCTCTAGTGAAGGTGAGCACTTAGTTTGCAAGCTAAATAAATCCATATACGGTTTAAAACAGGCCTCCCGCCAGTGGTATTTTAAGTTCAATGAGGTTATTACTTCATTTGGTTTTAAGGAAAATATCATGGATCAATGTATATACCTCAAGATTAGTGGGAGCAAAATCTGTTTTCTTGTGTTATACGTGGATGATATTATGCTTGCAACTAATGATGTTGGTATGATGCATGAGGTGAAGAGTTTTCTCTCGAAAAACTTTGATATGAAGGATATGGGAGAGGCATCTTTTGTCATTGGCATAAAGATCCATAGAGAAAGATCTAGAGGCATTTTAGGCTTGTCTCAAGAGTCCTATATCATACACAAGGTTTTAGAGAGATTTAACATGAAACAATGTTCACCTAGCGTGGCTCCCATCGTAAAGGGAGATAAACTGGATTTAAGTCAATGCCCCAAGAAAGATTTTGAGCGGGAACAAATGAAAAATGTCCCATATGCTTCAGCTGCAGGAAGCCTTATGTATGCTCAAATCTGCACTAGACCCGACATAACATATGTTGTTGGGGTTTTGGGAAGATATCAGATTAATCCAGGGGTTGAGCATTGGAGAGCTGCAAAGAAAGTAATGAGATATCTCCAAGGAACAAAGGATTTCATGCTCATGTACAAACGAAGTGACAAACTGGAAGTAGTTGGCTACTCCTATTCAGACTACGCTGGCTGCATTGATACCTGAAAATCAACTTCTGGTTATATATTTTTGCTAGCTGGTGGATCTGTTTCTTGGAGAAATGCAAAGCAAACTTCAATAGCTACTTCTACTATGGAAGCTGAGTTTGTTTCTTGTTTTGAGGCTACATCGCATGGTGTGTGGTTGAAGAGTTTCATATCTGGGCTTAGAGTTATGGACTCTATTTCTAGGCCATTAAAGATATATTGTGATAACTCAGTTGTTGTTTTCATGGCTAATAACAATACGAGTGGAAGTCGAAGTAAGCACATCGACACTAAATATTTATCCATAAGGGAACGTGTCAAAGACCAGAAGGTGGTCATTGAACACATTAGCACTAAGTTAATGATAGCTGATCCTTTAACTAAAGACATGTCACCAAAGAAATTTCAGGATCTTGTAGTTCACATGGAACTTGGTACCATGATTTAATTTTCATAAGTTTATTTATTATGAAACTCTTATTCAGTTTGGTGTATTCTCAAACTTATTTATTATGAAACTCTTATTCAGTTTATTCTCAAACTTATTGTGCACATTAATGATTGTTTTGAGAAATACCATTTTATTTGGGCTTGTAATAAACATGTGGTTTATTCATTAAGTCAAGAGCATATGTTTAGGAGATTAAATATATTGTAATACATGGATGATAATACTTTATAACAAAGGACTTGTCTCCATGATTCATATGTTTTCTCTTATAAGGTTTGATAATGGGTTAAATAGACCAAGTGGGAGAATGTTAGTTTTTCCCGTAAGTTACGTTTTATTAATATTTTAATATTAATTATTCAGAAAATAAAGTACATTTATTTAAAGGGAAAAACTAATCTGAAGTGGTCCATTTATTAGATAAGGATTACCCATTATTTCCCAACTAAGTAGAGAAGATCGGTAACTTCTTCCTATTTAGTCAGCCGCACGATCGGGAGCTCTTTGATGGGAAGAGCTCGATAAATAGCAGCGGCATATGGCTCTTGTGTTACACCCTGAGTCTGCTCCTCACTATCAATATACACACCATCTAATAGAGTGAAGAGAAGGGCTTGGAAGAGCAAAACAAGCAGGGCAGTTCACTTTGTTCAAGGAAATGGCTGGAGGTATGTATTTTCTATATCCTGCTTCAGCTTATTTCTATATTGATCTGAATATGTGCAGTACGTGTATAGCATGTTTAGATCAGTTTGTTCTTACAAATCAAAACCTTACCTATAAAATCGCCGCCACCTTCCAGTGGTTAGAGCTAGTTGAGATGAAAAAGTCACCACCCCGACCTTTGAATTGACCGAAAATGAGGGAATCTATTTGATCTGTAGGAAATTTGGAGCTATTTGAGGGCAAGAAATATGATAGAGGGTGGGGATGCGTACGTGAAGGAAGATGTAACTAGGGAAAGGAGGGAAAGGATGTTGGAAGAGAGAAAAAACAGGGCACGTGGTTAGGAGAAGTCGACACTGGACCGGTACAAATAATATTTTTAAAAATAATGTATACAGAATTTTTAGGGATTATTCCCTTAATATTACTAAATTGGACGGAATTTCCAAAAATGCGAGTACTTTTAAAAATTGACAAAAAAGTGATTAACAAGGTCACATATTTGGATTAGAAAAACATGATGTCACTGAAAAAAATTTATGTCACTATGTTCCTTTTTCTTGTGACCGAGAGTTGTCAAAGTCAAAACTTTCACGTCGATTACACCCCACCGCCACAGTGACATCGTCACAGTGACGCCGCCACAGTGACGTTGTTACAGTGACGCCGCCACAGTGACGCCGCCACAGTGACACCACCTCCGGTAACACCACCACCACAGTGACATGTCGACTACCACCATAGTGACACCATCAAGCCCACCACCCACTGGTCGCCAGCACCGTCCTGCACCTGCACCCTTCTCAGCCCCTCTTCAACCCTGCCGCAACCCCATCCCCGACGGCCATCTACCGTGTCACCGCCCACCGACATCGCCATACCATCAACACGGTCAAACCGTACTGCCCCTTCCCCTCCCAGCCATCCCCGATCGTCACCGCCAGTCACCACCACCAGCCACCCGCCTTCACCCCTAACATCCAGCCACGCCGCCCTAAGCCCCAACATCCAGGCCCCAGCCCTACTCCCCTGTCCCCAGCCCTCTCCCCTGCTCCCCTTCCCCGCCCCTGTCCTCCCCCCATGTCCTTCTTCGGCCAGTTTGGACAAAACCTCAGCCATAACACCACCTGCAGCGGCAGCTTTAAATCGGACCTCAACAGCAGCGGCCGGCCCCAAATCGGACCCCACCTGCAGCGGCGGTTCCAAATCGGAGCCAAAGACGCACCCCATTCCCACCCAAAAACGCCGCACACCACCTTCCAGCCTCGCCCCAACAAATTCGATCTGAAACTCAGATCTGAAAATAAGATGGAAAATCCCCAAAATCGATTTGAAATTCTAAAAGAAGGGAGAAAAAGGAGAATCAAGTGTGGTGGCTTGGTAGTCGTCGCTGACTGGAGCCATGGCTGTGCGAAGAGGAGCGCCGGAATGGAGGAGGAACGCCTGATTTGGCGAGGCAACCCGTGCGGTGAGGCAGCC